GGGGGGCTGGTGGTGGATGGGCTGCCTACCGGCCAGGCTGCACCGCCGAGCAGAGGCGCCACGCATTGATCGGTAGACATCAGATTTGTATATTCGAAGGAAGTCTTCGAATCCTACATGCGATCTATGACTACCAGTTTTCACCACTACCAACACGAATGCAAAGAAATTTATTATTAGTTCAAAGAAAGAATGAAAATGGCAATTTAGGAAGCACTTTTGGAGAAAGTCCTCCGGGAAGTCCCGGGTGGAGCCGTGCGTCCATCTTATTGCATCTCGTGAGCGCACGAATGCCACCCGCGGTGTCCACCACGAAATACTGCATTTCAGTTTTGAGTGCCTCATCATTTTCACTTTCCCTAATTTTGAGTCTAATTCATAGTCAAAGATTGGATTTGGGCCACCTGTACTACCTGTACGCGTGGCCCCAAAGAGCCGTCTAGCCGTGAGGTGAGATGGGTTGCCTACAACACAGGCGGACCGGTCGTAGAACCAAAAAAAAAAAAAAAAAAGTTGGACTTCTCCCAGTTCCTCTAAGGAACAAACCATACAAAACTGTGGAGTCCCTCCCTAGATCTTAGTATGTTTACGATTATGTTTGCCACATTTCAGACATATCTAAGAATAAGTGATCTAATAAATAAACAAAAAATGTTTAAGTAAAATGGTTGTATTTCAGTCTGCTCAAATAAGCATTGCATAAAAACACATATAAATTAACTTGAGAAGTATGGTCACTACATGCAATTAGGAGAAGATGAAAAAGTAGTAGACTTCATTTCATCAACAACAAAATAGCACATCACATAAGAGTAAATAAGTAAATGCGAGATAATGCGTATCACTACAAATTGTTCCCAGAATCATTGCAATGGATGTCTTCTGCTTTAAAAAAAGGGGGGGGGGGTGTGCAGTAGTAGATGTAAAAAAAAAAATCTTATGAAAGTAAGCATATGAAATCAGACGAGTCTATCACATATAGCAAGAGAATAAATATCATTAAGGGAAGATCAATAAGATGGCAGGATAAAGCTCTTGTTCCTGAATTTGGAACAGTCAAAAGATACTTTTAAGAATATCCATAAAATACTAATACTAACACAATACAAGAGCACAATCTGCACTTAATATAAAGCAAATATCTGAGAGAAAAAACAATAGAATTCTAAAATGTGCTGTTTGCACTGGTTCTAGTTTGTACTTAAAAATGCACAAATGCCTGGTACATGATTCATAACAAAAATAATTTCAATAATCTTACACATTTCTCCTGTTCAATTATTGGGAATGTATAGGATTGGTGTTATACAATGCAAAGGCATTTCAAGAAATTGTTGAGTTGCGGAGTTGCTTTAGCAAGAATTCTGGCACAGGATTTTAACTGTAATCTCTTGCATCACCAACGGATAATTTCTTTTTGCTGTCTTCAACAAATTCCTGGAGAGAGAACGCACAATTATTAATTTCCAAAATACCAAAGAAGCATCTGTCTGTCATACTGCAACTATTCTGATTATATGGTCTTGCGACTTGACAGATCCGAACTGCATGAACACTCACCATGAGATCTTTACTCATGTAGTAGGGTTTGCTTATCCCATCATTCTGTTCGCAATCCTCGCAGAAACACAGAAATATTGTATCAATCACCATCTGTATAAACAAAAACCAAGAAGTATTACACAGGATTTACTTTTTCCTGATTATTGAGATAGGGGCAGAATAAGTCCAGGGATATTTCCTTTACCTCATACACAGTCAAAAAACAGTGTGAAACTAAGAACGCAAAGAGTCCAGCTAGGCCTAACGGGACCCATGCATGTTGAATGCCCTCTTTCGTCTGTAAATCAAATAAAAATGAACAAATAAAACCATTTCAAAAAAAATTGATTAGATACATATAGTATCAAAATGATTAAAAAAAATAAAAAAAATTACCTGAAGTAGTTCAACACCAATTAGAACCGTGGCAATCACAACCAGAGCTTTTCCTAGCCATAGCACAAAATCCCCAACTGAGTTGATTGCAGCAACTCTAAGTGCGTTGCTGGCCAACATTTTAAAAGCCTGCTCTCCAGCACGGCAAAAGTTGTGACCATACATTGCTGCAGGTTCAGAAAGCACCACACAATTAAGTAAAAAAACCTTCACAAATCTTTTACTTAATAATGTCCAGATGATAGATCACTTACAAATCTCAATGAAAGCATTTCTAGTCAAATACTTCAGTATCTTCTCAAAGCAGTAAAGACAACATTGGCATGTTCGGAACAGACACTTGCTAACACCATTCTCAGATCCTTTAAGTCTGGCCTGTATCCAAGCTAGCACAGCCCTTGCCATTTGAACAATTGCTATCAATAGTGAACCAAAGGCAACAGACCCCAGGTGATAACGTACCAAATTGTAGAAGGAATTTGAAAGAGGAGCATCTAGATGATCCTTGTTTCTAAGTATGAAAAGATAAGAGATATCCACAGACAGTTTTAAAATTTCAGTTTGGTAAAAAAAACCTTTTATGGGTTGAAAAAAAATCAATGCCCACAAACCTTGTAAAAAACCATGCCGAAACAGCACCTGCTATTACCATGTGTTGACAGCTCACAATGAATTGAGTAAACCAAAACATTGCAAAGAGATTGTACCATCTAGTTACCTAAAAGAAAACAAAGTAATTAAAAAGCTACCAGATGCACTTTCTATTTACTAGAGGCACTTGTCCCAAACCTTAGTTGCTGTGTCTTTTTTATAATATAAATTGGTATCACTCGTTGGAGTCAAGAAACCTGAGGTTTCAATCCAGAGAGTAAAATGTATCCAGAGAGCTACCACTACAGCCAGACAAGCAAATGTCTGTAACAAAGCAAAGAAAAACCATGTAAACTCGCTCAGAAAAAAAAAAAAATTATTCAGAGCTCAGATTCAATTCAACTTAAACCTTTAACATGAGTGCTTACCAAAACTGGTTGGACGAGAAGAATGGGCATGCTAGCAATAGCTTTCCCTGCTTCCCTGAACAGCTGTACTACAAGCTGTATACGTTTTCTCATGACCAAAACCACAAGCATTATAATGACCTAAAAAATCACGCAATTTACAATTGAATTAGATCCACCGGTGACACTGAACAGTAGAATGTTACAAACTAATAGATAGTAATCTTACTGTGGCAACTGTTGCTATGATAGCATAAGCAAGCAAAGAATAATGCTTTCTCTGGCTAATATCCGACTGACTGTAATCTGGCTTGGATTTTAACTCGTCTCGTACCATTTTATAGCGCACCCTGTATTGAGGAAAAATTAAGGATTGAAGATGAACAAAGTGGTGTGACAACAAGAAAAGCGATACCACCAAATATTACATACCATAGGTATATAGTGCCAAATACGCTGACAATCACCACTCCAATTAGCACAATCCACACAACAAATGCCACCACAAACCGGAAGAGGAATAATAACACAATAGACAAACCTGAAAAAATAAAACATGTGTAAAAATGTAGAAGCTATTTATTAAGATATTAAGAAGCAATAAAGGATTGATTTATCAAAAAAGAGAATTACCAAATGCAATCAAGCATAAGTAGAGTATTTCTTTCCAGCATAAATGCAAGTCCTCTGATGTCTCCTGTAAGCAAAGTTCAAAAAGACAAAAATTAAATTTCTTACTGGCTTACTATTTTAGTGGTGCAGCAAATTTACAGACCTGTAGGAAGTCCTTTATGCCAGTTTTAGAGAAAAATGAATTGACAACAGTTTCACTGGTTTCGGGTATACACCGATTCAAGAACTTGCGACTGTAACAAACATCAGTATAATTTCAATAAGACCTGAATACTAAGATACTACTACAGAGACAATGATTGCTCTATGCTGAAGTCATACTCACTATCCAGTGCGTGCATTACAATCAGTCACACATTCTCTTTGCACATATTTTGGGTTTACAATGGCGCGACCAGCTTCAGTTATGAGAAGGTACCTAAAATAAAAGTTGACTTGGAAATATTTATAGCAGCCTACCAAATCCCATCATATGTGAATCTACCTACTTTTCATTTGTTCGGTCTGCACCAGTGCAACTGTATCGGGCTGTAGTATTCGCATTTTTATGATTCTTTCGACCACAGACATTTCCGCAGTTGTCATATCCGTTAATAATTCTATAAATATCTCCATGATACATACAGTAACCCAAGAGTCCAACCTAAAACAAGCCATGTTGATGAGATGCAAAACTTTGCCAAAACGTATGTTACGATTATGCATTTCACTGACCAACACTAGGACAAAAGCACCCATCAGGATGAGAAAGATGACATCTGTGCAGCTGCGGTTCTTCACTGGTCCATGAAACTTGCCGGCGCTCCCCTTGCGCCCGCCCTCCTCCATCTGCAACAAACATTATGCGGCTTAGGTAAGGTCAGTTCATACAGGTTAATCGGAAATGAAATGAGTGAGCGGACACAATCAAAACACACTGGCATGAGCTCTTTCGTTGTCTCGTGGATGTCATCCTCTTCCATGTCGGTTTTTAGGGGGAGGGATGTAATTGCTACCCTCGCAGACCAAAACAAACGCACTCCGGCTCTATACTGAGGCTTCTGAGGCTGGACTGGGACTGGACCGCGACCGCGACAGCAGACCAAGAGCAAGAGAGGAGGAGGAGAGAGAGATGGCACGACACGGAACGGGTGCGCGCCAAACCCTTCTGCTGGCCAAACAGAAAGGACAGAAAGAGGGAGAAAGGGATCGGGTG